GATCGGCATGCCCAGTATTCGATTTCAAAGGATATAAAGTCTCAATAGAGCAATGCCAGTAACTCCTAAGGTCCCAATTAAACGGCGATACGCCGGATTTTTTCCCTCTCTTTTTCTATGCGGCGCGCCAGTAAATTCAACACTCCCGCACTACTGGCGAATTGCCAAAGTTTTAGAGTTTGATTATCCGTCTCGAGCGCCATGCGATATTCTAGTGTGCTATTTCAGTATGGCATTGCGCACCCTCCGAGTCCCAACAAAGAAGGCTTTTCACAGCCATGCATCAGTTGAGGCCCGTTCGACGTACTGCACGCGCCCCCCTGACTTCCTCAAGCACTCAACAATCAAGGTGCTACCCATCCTTCGTTGTCGCCACTTATGTGCGTACAATTAGCAAAGCCGTTCATGTATCAATTGAAAACGTAGTACAATGTAGAAATTGCTAAACTACTCGTCATCGACAGAGTACTCGTCGGCATCGTCGCTGCACTCGACTTCGCTGTTGTCCGATGTTGTGAGATCGATATGCGCAGGTTTCTGGGCATTCTCGTCGTCGTCGCTAGTCGTGAGATCGACACACCACGTCACGCGCGTTCTCGCCAAGCCCAACGCGGCGGTTAAGTACTTTGACAATGGATATTGGCGCAACCTCACGCCAGCCGCGATCCCAAAGAGCACGACCTTGAGTCGCATCCGCAAGGTCATTCCCGCCATCGCGTAGACATTATTGTCATCCCGTATGTCCAGATCGCCCGTCATCTTTGATCTGAAAGACTTTTACTGCAAGCAATATATATTTTGAAGCGCTGAGTTTAGTAAGCTTAGTCGTTGTGAAGCTAGTACAATGGGTCATGACTAAGAACTGCTCTAGGGCCAAACACAAACGTCCGACTGGTCCGTCGAGAAGTCCGTATCGGCAGCACAACCACCATTGACCGCACCGACGGCAGTACGAGTAGCTGCGCCACTGCCGAGCAGCGCCGGTTACGTCGTCGATAGCCGCGTTCCTTGACGCCCATTGAATCGAGCTGGGCTGTCGCTGGCGGACGTAGCGTTAAAGAGGAGGCGCCGCGATCATGGCTTTAGCGAGTCGTGCGTAGTGCCGCTGAGATTCTTTTAGCGACGAGCTGCCGCTCTCCTCCTATCCTGGCGAGTGTCCTGGTGCCAACTTGCTCGCGCGTGTTGGTGGATCGCCGAAAATACACATGGGCACGTGCAAAAGCTCATGTGTCAGACCGGACGATTTATAAAGTTTTGGCGTATCGCCGTTTAATTGGGACCTTAGGAGTTACTGGCATTGCTCTATTGAGACTTTATATCCTTTGAAATCGAATACTGGGCATGCCGAT